TTTATTTAGTTTTTAAACATTTGTGTGTTTTTAGTTGTAATTGTATTTTAGTTCTCATTTGTAAGTTGAAAAGTGACGTGCACTTTGTCGTGGTGTGCACTCAAAGTAATAATACAATACAACAATTATATGTAGTATAATGAAGTAAGGTTCGTATCCACAGGGAAAGGAATACTTCTCTTTTTACAAAACTAGAAATAAGTACCAAGGAGAGTTTTTTAGATTGTTTTGATTTAATTAATTAAACACGAAGATGAACGACTTATGTGGTTTACTTAATAGAGATGAAGACTTGGCTTTGCTTTTATCCACTTAATGAAATATTCGTCGATCCTAGTTATATCTTTAACTATCTTCCTCTCGAATACTCAATCGAGGAGTATATCCAATTCATCGGGGGTAGTTATTAATAACGAGACACGTTCATTAATAAAACTTACTACCGAGTCAATATAGAACACGCGCCGTATATTAACCCGATAGTAGCAATAAAATCAAGATGAAAATGATTGAGATTGTTAACCTCAACACAAACGGTTTATCGGTTTAAACAATATAATTAATTCCCCCTCGGTTATTAACCATGAGACGCATGCGTTAACAACCCAAGTTTACTACCGTGAAAGGACCGAATTAATAACAAGCGTATTAATCGATCGATTCTAGTAATAATTAATATATGAAACAAAACTAGTTGATCCTTTAAGTAATGCTCAAAATATTAATATGAAATAGGAATATTAATTAATTAATATTCAAGGAAGAAGATTATAGAAAATAACTCACAACTTACAATTCATTAAGCTTCAAAGTAGCAAAACCAAGATGGAAGAATTTAGCTCCTCATTTGGAGACTGAACATGAAGAAAATATAAAGAAAGAACTTATCTAGACTGAGCTTAGAAGTGTATAGGAATTGGTGATTATTTGTGAAGGAAAGGAGGTGTATTTATAGGATTTTGGAGATGCAGCTCGGGTACCCGATCGAGTACACATAGGGTACCCGATCGGGTATTTGTAGAATGATGAATTCAAGCTATACTCGACCGATTTCAGGGTTAGAATTAAAGGTATACCCGATCGGGTGTGTCGATGTACCCGATCGGGTATAACAACTGATCGTGGCCAAATCTTCCCCTGCACGTCCCTTTGTTTCACGAAGTGATCTGATTGAAAATCAAGTAGGTACCCGATCAGTTATAGGGTATACCCGACCGGGTACAGGTCAAAATCATGAACTTTCCTTCTTTGTCTTGTATTCTTGCACCTTCCTTCCTCTTTTGGTTTCACCAATGATCATTTGATTGATCCTGGACCTGTTTTAGCTCAGAATAAACCTAATCTAAATACATTACAACTATTTTACAAACATAACCATTACACCAAAAGTGTGTAATTTCCGAAATATTAAACAAACAAAACTAACTAAAAACATAAACATACAAACGGAAATTACAAGCGTATAAAAAAGTAGAGTTTTGATTTATGGTGTTGGAAAGGAAGACTTTGAAGTGAAGAAAAATGATTATTGGCTGCCCAGGACAATCACCCGGTCGGGTGAGACTTTGAAAAGCGAAGGTGGCTGGAAACTACAATCACCCAGTCGGGTCAGATGTGACCCGAGACAAAACGATGTGCTGAAACACAAGAACGTGGAAGATTATCTGATTTTTACATGCACCCAGTCGGGTGGGAACTTGACCCGGTCGGGTGTTCAAAGGTGCAGGTGTTCAAAAGCAGCTTTAGGGCACTTTTCATCTTTTTTTGTTCAAAAATGTACTGTTTTAGATCATATTACTTCAATTAAGGATGTTAAAGGTGCAGGTGTTCATTACACTTTTATTAAGATTTTGCAATCTCTGATATACAAGATACTGGTGTATAGCTCCATGTGTCCAATCTAATGAATGACAACAAGGTATAAGATAAACTTAAATGAACCAGGAACCAAGTAATATTCAATACAGACCGTGAGGCTGAGTGAGAATCATGCAGCTCAAAAGGTAAAAATCAATTTCTTTAATACAAGGGATCCCATTGATTGTCCACGAATAGCAGGTGCATCCTGAACTTATGTAGTTGTAGTTGAACTCACAAACAGGCCAAACTGGTTATTCTCAACATAGAGAAAATAATTCTACATATAACCTCGCCACTAGAAGCAAGTGAAACAGTATATAGCTGCGTGAAGAAGCTCTCAAACTTTTTGGCTTTAGGTGGAAGCTCGTGACTAAGTGTAATAGCTTTTATTTCAAATATAAAGCTACCTGCAACTAGGCCCCTACTCCTGGCCATGCCAGGCTTATAATTCAATGCTTTGCATCTACTACAAGCAGTACATTGGCCCATATTATGTAATAGCCAAGGAAGTACATTGGCTCATTCATTAATGCAAACTGCAACTTCCTTTTATAATGTCAAAAAATATACTACACATAGGCCCATATTTTAAAAGAACTTACAAATACTTCCTTGCACCGGATTTATTCTTTAATTAACTAATAAGGAGGAGTACACACGAACATACACATAACAACTTCATAGTGTACATAAGTCTTACCTCACACAAATACCTACTAGTAAAGTCATATATAAGAACACACACTAAGCCAGAATATTACATCTCTTTTATACCATTATGATATACAAAGTTAGACCACTGGAGCCATACACATGTTCACATTAAACCTCTTATTGTTTTCATGATCAAAGAAAATCACAAACAAGTGAACAACAGTAGTAGCACCATTAGTCGTATAGCACTCCATAACATACACCATCTCCGGCCTCTTGGTTTTGCTCCTTTGATTCTTTTCATTAAGCTCAACTTGTTGTTTGTTTATCTTCCTCAGCAGACCTGGTATTATAATCTTGGACCGCGGACACATTTCTGGATCATTGAAATGTGTTGCATCCACCCGAGGCCTGAAAAATATGCATATATGCTTATCATGAAAAATAATTTTAAATAATTACTAATTAACATAAAAGTTGCTTTTATATTTTTAAACCGCCTTCCCGGGTTATCATCCGTCCATGAAGTCACCATCTTAAAGGGAATTCCACAAGATCAGTACCCATTGTCCATGTGTGATTCCGATACATATATATCAAAGAGGCAAATCAACAAACAGGTAGAAGGAGAGGAAGAAAACAACTCATAAGAGAAAGAATGAGATATCTGCAACTGATAAATGAATGAGATATGCAAGGAAGAGACTCAGACTAGGGTTAGATATATTACGCATAGGATAACTCATGGGGCTGACCTGGAATCCGAACCTTGGAAAAAATAGACGTTTTTTGCCACATAAGGTGTTTTTAACGTTAATATCACAGAAGTACCGAATTGACACCTGATAGTGTTTTGTCAAACTTGTTTTTTGCTTGAAATTTCTAGCAAGTGCCAATTATTATCGATTATTATCTTACTGGTTTTGATTTATGGTTAATTAATTAATTAATTGATTACTTGTTTGTGGCTTTATTCTATTTATTCTGCTATTTCAATATTTACGTGTACAGTTTCCTTTATTATTAGTCTATGGACAATAGTTAATATTATTTAAAATTAGTTTTCTTTTATTCATTATTATATCAACCTCTAACAGATGGTGCTGACAAATTCAAGATCAAGCATGAAGCATGAGGAAGATGGTGAAGAGATTCAATAATTATGCATGCAGAAATAAATTCCCTAGTGTATCCAATTTAGTTGTTACATGTTTAAGTCCCATCAAATTTCTCCATATTTATAAGTCAATTCTTTCAACATATCTGAGACTGATGTAATGTTTATATTACAAAGTAATATTGGGCATTTCACAATTCGTGCTATTTTATATGCCATGTACTTTGGTATGCTTTGTGTTGTGATTATTTTGTGGTGTGAGCTATTTTTGGGGTTCCAGTTTTTTTTAAGACTTCATTACATTTAACATCGGTTTTAACTGATGTAGAATGCTATCTTTATATTATAAAGGCTAAAGGGTCAAATAGGTACATGAACTGACTTAAAGTGTTCAATTAGCCCCTTATATAGGAGGTTCTTTTCGGCCGTCGCCAATTGGGGCGTTTCCCGATGGAATTTTTTGATGAAATTTTGTGAGCATCTTCTTCATTAAGTCTAGTTTATCCATACCAAATTTCAGCTAAAACTTCAACTGGGAAGACAGTCAAATGATTTTTTGAAGATAACTGCGCAGTTAAACAGCGCAGTACATTTCAGAAAATCATTTGACTGCCTTCCCGATTTATTTTTTAGCTGAAATTTGATATGAGTAAACTAGACTTAATGAAGAAGATGCTCAAAAAATTTCATCAACAAATTCCACCGGGAACCGCCCCAATTGGCGACGTCCGGGCAAAACCTCCTATACAAGGGGCTAATTGAACACTTTAAGTTAGTTCATGTACCTATTTGACCCTTTAGCCTATTATAAATGAAACACCTTTCACATCGGTTATTGCAAAAACCGATGTAGAATCATTCAAAATCGGTTACCGCCGTAGTAGAATGCAGTGAGTATTGGGCGTTCTTACCATTTTCAAAATCGGGTAGCTCACAACCGATGTGAAAAGTCTCCACCTTTCACATGGGTGGTATCTACATCGGTTGTAGAACCGATGTGAAAAGCCTTTTTTATCCGATGTAAAAAGTGTTTTTTGTACTAGTGATTGCTCTTGTAATACTTGCAAGAAAAAGATGGACCCCCTCCCCATTCTCTCCATCGGTAATATATATATATATATATAAATGTGTATTTGTAGTACTACATATAATTCAAAAAATGATATACATTTTATATATATAGAAGGGGTCGGGACTCGGGACAGGTCGATCAGAGAGAGACAGGTCAATATTAATACCTGGATCGGGCCCCTTATATGCACAGAGCGGATCCGCCCCCATTTACAAGACGGGGCGGGCCGGACCCGCCCAAAAGACGGGGCAGTGGGCAGGGCCGGTCTCTACGGACCTATGGGAGGTCATCTGCATTGTTAAACCCTCCGCCTTTTGGTACAAGGGTTTTATGTAGTACGACGAGCACAGCGCCAGTTGGACTAAATATTCTAATTGCCGGAAAAACGATGAGTTTAATCGCCGGTTCGTACGAGCGTTTCATATGGGGATTCAGACTGAAATCTGTGAAAGACAGCCAGAGCTTTGACCTAATTTCTCTCTTTTCCTTCCCTTCCCACCTTTCAACCATCAGATGCGTCGACGTTTGCGGCTCCGCCGCCGTTTCTGGCGGGTCCGACGACACGATTAAGATATACGACCTCTCCACCTGTTCCGAAATCGGTTCCCTTCACCATTCCACAACCATTAATTCACTGGCATTCTTTACCCCTCCCTCTCTAACGTTTCCCCGTAACCTTATCTCAGCGGCCGATGATGGAACAGTTTCCATCTACGACGCCGATCCCTTCGTTCACCTTAAAACAGTGAAGGTCCACCGGAAGGGCGTCAATTCACTTTCTATCCACCCCTCTGGACGATTGGCATTGTCAGTGGGCCGAGACGAATGCTTGGCTATGATTAATTTGGTGAGAGGGAGGAGGAGTTTTTACTGCAGGTTGGGCAAAGAGGCATCAATCGTAAAATTTAATGAAAGTGGTGAAAAATTCTATATGGTTATGGATGATAAAATCTCAATACACGAGTCAGAGGATGCAAGAATAGTCATGGAATTTAATAATGCGAAGCAAGTTCTCTGCGCTGCCTCAGGAAAGGTGAGTTCTGCACCATATAATACGAGTAGTATAGGGAGTATAACTTTTGGTGACTGTTTTCTGAAATTCATTCTGTTTAAAGAATATGTGGCTTGTTTAAGCAAAAGTTGCAGTTTTGGAGTAATGTTACTTACTAGCTATGTAGTGAATGGTGGAAGATATTTCTTCCAAACAGTTTGGAATAGCCTTGACCTAATCCAAATTATCCCGATCTTAACCTTTTATTTACCTACAGCAGCATCTGCAGCTTGGATTGGGTTAACTATCACAATACCCCTCCCAAATAATGAAAAACACTTTTTGTCTATACACCATGCCAACTAGGCTATGCCCATGTTATATAGCTTATTAGTATGGTAATTCCTATAACAGTGTTAGCTCAAGTGCATAAGCTGCAAAGTCAATGTTACTCCGAAGCTTAAAAAATTGTCTTTCAGAGTCATCTTTAAACAAAATTGGCGGATATGCAGGGTTGGAGCTACATTGAAGTGTTCACTGATGTTGATTGACCATTTTTTCCCTCTAATTATACAGGGATTACTGGATATCTATGTATATATCTGCTAAAATTTGAAAAGGTCACAATTTGATTTGTTTTTATGCTGGCCAGTGTAGGAGTAATATTGCTCTAAAAATCTTTATCTGACATTGAATGGCCTCTTTTGACCTTCTCTATTTTTTCCTCTTTTGGTCCCATCTGTTCTTAAATAATCACGCCTGAGGCCAATTAAGCGCTAGGTCCAAACCGCTACCTGATAGGGACCTACCTATTAGACTAATAATAGAAGTAATAATAATAATATTAGTAATAAGGGTCTCTATTATAAATAGACGGGAAGGGGGAGTAGTAAGTAGGCTTTTGGGACTTGGGTCTGGACTGGGAAGATTAGAGAGCTATTCTCTTCTCTTTGGGAGGCTTCGGCCTTGGTTACTATATTGTTCATCTTCTCTAATAAAATTCAGTTTGATTTCATGAATTCTTTCTGTAAACTGTTCTGGAATTGGGAGGTTTCTAACATTGGTATCAGAGCAAACGATCTTGTTACCTGTAGTCCTGTACTGGAACGATGGAAGATTGGGGACTGTTTTGGGAAAAGAGGCGTGAAGAAAACAGGAGGTTTTGCGAAAAGATGAGCGAAGATACCAGGCGTTTTTGCAAAGAGATACGCAAATTAAGCTTGCAAAGAAACAATCGGCACTCGCGAGGAAAGTCGAGGACCAAGTTGCAGAAGGAATCGCAGAAAGAGACTGAGCTGCGAAAGTCGCAGGAGTCGTGGAAAGAGCCGCGAACTGTTTCGCACTCGCGAAAGGAGTGGCGCGGAAAATTGGGGAAGTTCGCAGAAAAGAATGAGCGCCAAAAAGTGGAGAAGGAGAAGAAGCCATCAAACCTGGAAAAGGAGAAACGTACGAAGAACAAGGAAAAGGTGGAAAGTGCTGGGGCGAAGAATATGAACACAGAGTTGGCAGAGGTGCGCACCAAGATGCGGCCCCAACGTCGCAGGAGAGGAAGATCGCGGAAGGTACGTCGCTGCATTCGAAGAGCAAAGGTCCATCTCAGTCGGAAGATACTTCTTTCGGTCCTCTGGCTTCGACTCAAGTAGAAAACCCTAGTTCGCAATCTCTATCTGAGTCCCCAGAGTTGGTTAATCAGCAGCAACCGGAAGGTACACACACCTATGGATTTTCCAGACGTAAGATGTTTTCCAAGTACGATCTTGACCAGTCAGATCTTGAAACCAATAGGTTCAAACTTCTTCAGGTAGGCAATATTTCTTTTCATCTTGCACACAAGAAGAACTGGCCAAACGGCCGCAAGACTGAAATGATGTATTGCCAGTCATCAAACATTGTGTTGGAAGGATTGAACAAATATGATAATCTTACATTGGAAGGTGTTACTTCTATGAAAATGAATCAAAAGGATTGGGGCATTATGTATCTATGTTGAAATATGATGTAGGAAGAAGACATGTTGTACAATTGCCAGATTATGTTTTTCCTAATCCTGCAACCGGAAATTCATGCTTGGAACGAAAGAGGTCTGGTCCAGGGGTTCTTGAGGATCGGGTTCATCCTTTTTCTTGGGAATCATATGCCATTATTCAAGTTGGGGTAATGATTTCACATGGAGGTCCTCTAAATTGGATGTAGGGTGTGAGCAGAGGAAGGCTTGCTATTGCTTATAAAGGGGCTGAAACTGCTGAGAAGCACTCTTTCACTATGTTTCAAGCAATTTTGAAACCCAAAATTGAAGGTCTATCTACCCATTACAATTCAAGGGATCATCAATACTATTCCCCAGTTGTTTCCTTTGTTCTTGTGAATCTGAATGGAAAGGAACCAAGTATACTTGACTCCCTTACCAACTTGTGGGTAGTCTTTTTAACCGGAGACCTCAGAATTACAAATTCTTTAAAAGAGAAAACAGTGGAATATTTTGTGGAACAACATATTGAAGCAAATGCAAAGGTGAAATTAGAACAGGGTTGGAAAATGGCCATGTCATTTACTGGTGATGGATCTGTCTACCTGCCAGAAAACCATCTTTGGAAGTTTTACATAGGTGATAGGCTTTCTTGCTTAGCATCCAGTACAGTATTAGTTTTAGAACATAGAAATCATGAGGAGCTGCAGAAAAGTGAAGAATTAATTTTTGATATGGAGTGGGGGAAGGTGACTGAACCAAATGAAGATTTACTTTCTGCTGCTGCAAGTTCTGTGAATTCAAAAGATCTTGTACTGAAGTCCCTAGTCCATCAACCAGTTAGATATTGGGAAGGAAGAGGTGCAAGGAAGAAGCAGAAGATCTTGGCTGTCTCCTACCGCCCACCTTGAGGGCAAGGTGGATGTTTAGGGAGGGAGTATTGATAGGGACCTACCTATTAGACTAATAATAGAAGTAATAATAATAATATTAGTAATAAGGGTCTCTATTATAAATAGACGGGAAGGGGGAGTAGTAAGTAGGCTTTTGGGACTTGGGTCTGGACTGGGAAGATTAGAGAGTTATTCTCTTCTCATTGGGAGGCTTCGGCCTTGGTTACTGTATTGTTCATCTTCTCTAATAAAATTCAGTTTGATTTCATGAATTCTTTCTGTAAACTGTTCTGGAATTGGGAGGTTTCTAACACTACCTAGCGTCTTTTATAGAATTGACCGAGACATAAGTAGTCTAAGTGATGAAATATAGATTGTCCAATGAAGGGATATTTTGCTGAAGGGCTAAATTTTGTCAAATTTGCTGAAAGAGTTTTATGTTTTGTAAATCCAATTTCATATGTCAGTTCATTTTAGCTGATCAACACTCTTTTGGGACTAAGGCTCGGATGTTGTGGTTGTTGTCGGTGAAATAGTTGTAGTTATGAAGTATTGGTAGAGAAAAGTTATACACTATTTGAACTAGGAAAACATGTCATTGAAATGGCTTAGTCAATGAATTTAGATATTTTTAGGACTTCAAAAAGAAATAAACAAATTAGATGTATTGACACCACTAAAATTCCTTGTTGATCCCACTGCAGATATAAGTACTGTATCTGAATGTTCATCATTTCAGGTGTTATATTTTGTTCTGTTTAATGATTAAGATGCTATTTTCCATCATTTGGAATGGAGCCAAAGACTCACTATTTTTTGGCTTGGGAATATGATGGAATAAAGCAAAATAGTTCACTGAACTGTCTGTGCTTCTTTATTATGAAGCAGCTGTTGGGTCCATGCTTCTTTATTTTTCACTACGGGTCATCCAAAAACAGTTTCTCTGTGCTCTAGTGCAGGGGTAAGACTGCGTACATCCGACCCCCCCTTACCCCACCGTAGGTGGGAGCCTTTGCGGCATTGGGGTAATGATGATGATGATGATGAATGATTAAGATGCTCTCTCATGTGGTTTATTTATGTTCTGTAACTGAAGCAATGATTTGCAGGGTGGTATACTGTTTACTGGTGGAGAAGATAGGAATATAACAGCGTGGGACACTAAAAGTGGAAAAGTCGCATACAGCATCAGTGATGCACACTCAGCCCGAATCAAAGGCATTGTTGTACTCTCCCAGAGTGATGATTCCATTTCTGAAGTTGATCCATATTTAGTGGCCTCTGCATCATCAGATGGCAAAGTTAGTGTTTGGGATATTCGCAATGCAAGTAAGGAAAAATCAAATCCACTGGCTGTGGCCAATACGAAATCTAGACTGACTTGTCTTGCTGGATCATCCATCAATTGTGAGTGCTTTCCAAAAAGAAAATGCAATGTGTTTCATTTTTTTAATTACAACTCCACAGTTACTTGCTTAATTGCTTACTCTTTTATCTTCTGCTTGTGGAAGAAATTTCTTTCAAATAATCTCTGACAGAGTCGGCTACATGAGCTACTCTTAAGATCTATAGGCTATAGCTTCCGTTTGCACATACTTAGTAGCTTTTTTGTGCAGTTGGCTGCTCTTTTCTTAATCCTGGGCATGCTTTTATGGCAAATAAAGGCCTTTGTGTTTGTTTTGATGAAGGATGGGTTTGGAGGGAAAGACTTCAGAAGGATGACATATTTATTCAAACTATTCCAATCCCACTTTTATATTTGTTTTACCAAACAACTACTTAACTCAGCCCGTGTTAGTTTGATATCTTGGCTCTTCCATAGTTGTCTATTTCGCAATGCACAACGGTGAAAATAGTGGATTGTCATATCTTAATATTCAATTTGAATATGGTTATTATATGATTGCAGCAAACTTTTCCAGCAAATTTGCTTATTGTTTTTTTTTTTTTTTGCTTTTCTCATGTTTCAGTTACAAGAAAAGCTTGAGTGGGAACTTATGCCTCAAATGAACATCAAGGGAGTGGGCTAGTAGACTGATCCATAGACAAACATCTTATGGACCCATTTTGAGGCCAATAGTGTTGCAGCCAAGGGCTCCATCACCTGGGCCATGGTAAAGCCCAGGTCAATTGCGTGAACTGTAATTTTCTATTTAACATTATATTATTGTCATTATAATATTATTATTCCTTTGTTCAGATTTAGTCTGCTTTTATTGGACCTAGGTTTAATGTTTCATTTAATGATTAAGACTCGTGCAATAGCAATATAAAGGACTTTGGTACGCTCCAATAGACTTGGTAGAGTTAATTGGTGAAAACTATCAAATTAGTTTGGTATTTTATAAAAATGGCAATTAAGCCCTCATACTCCAAAAACACTCAACTAAACCCTCAAAGCTATAAAAAATCTTATTCATGAGGATGAGGGCGACGACAATGATGATTTTTTGGCCCATAAGTTGACTACATTGTTTGCGACTTTTCTACTTTGCTTTGTAATTACGTTATGGATTGCCTTTCAATATGTTTCTTGCTATTTGAGTAAATATTCTGTTTCTATTGACTGATTTTGGTGTTTATGAAGCTTCATTTGTGGCGCAAGGTATTTGTGATGTTATCATTTTCTGGGAAGAGTGTCATGTAAAAGTAGTATAAGTATAATTGATCAAAGTTTTACTCCGTATGATTTAGTTCCAGTGGAGTTGGCCTTGACCTCGTGCCTCGGGTGTCAAGTAAATTAACCCAAAATGCTTCTGCTGCCTCACGCTTTTTAAAACAAAGGCATTTGACCAACAGACCTGCTGGTGTGTGGTGGTGTGGATATGAGCACCAAGGTCTGCACCACTGTTGATTCTCCGGCATGTGAGGAAGAAGGCGCCCATGTATCAGTTTTTGTTTCCAGGAGTGGGAGACTGAAAACGAAAAGAAAAATTAAGATTAGGTACAAAAGACAATGAAAAAATATCACATTTGGTTGTTTTTTATAACTCAAGGGTTTCATTGGGTGTTTTTAGGGCACAAGAATTTAATTTTTGTTTTTATGAAGTTAAGCTATCCCAATTAATTATTGTTAGAGGTTGACTGTGCATTGTTTCGATTCTAATCCCTCTCAAGATATATTTGTCCGCGGTTCGGAGGTGATTTGGAACTGGACCAAAATGCCAATTTCAATTCCAAAAATTTCCCAACCAAAACTGGAACAGCCCTCATATAAACTCATTTTTATCAATAACTGTGTCACTCCCTTCCGTCCCAATATTAATGGGAAGGAGGTGGTATTGTATTACTGTATTGTGTAATAATTATTGGTTACCATGTTCGTCTAGTTTACTATGTGACGAACTCTAATTTGATCACACAATTACGTAAATTAATTCCTATTTTGTAAGGTACACAAGTATATACAATTTTCATAACATGTTATGCAAAATTTTTAGTATTATTTCAGGAATTTTCCCATTCAAATTTCAAAAACTGTCGAGGTTCTCGTTCGAGAGAGAATAGTTGTCCATCAATAATTTGTCTTTTACCTAGAATATGCAAGGGAGTTTATTGTTAAGTTTTTCAATGACACTAGAATCAGAAGCAACTTTTATTCAAACATATTTGCAATTGTACCCACTTCCACATTTTTCTTGCCGGATTATGTACTCACTGTTATTTAAAAACGCCCATGCGTATTTGTAGGGTACGTACGTACTATTTACTTGAGCTGATTATTCAATTTTACCTAATAAATCCGTAATTTTTACATCAATCTACATAAATTATATCGCAACATTTGAATTTTGCTGATTTTGTTCTTTATATTGAGTAGGTGTGCCATTTTTGGTGCAGGAGGGAAATGTCAAGATATGCCGGCCCTGAACATAAAAATAAATGAATCGGTGAGTAGCAAAAAAGCCTAAAAAGGTTAACACCTTGGGGTTTTAATTTGAGCAGGAATTGTATGAGTAGTACTACTCCTAATTTGAGGTTAATGAGCAGAAAAAGGAATATGAAGAGTTGAAGAAAGATAGAGTGGGAAATTGGAACACAAGTTCGAAAAATCTTTTCTTTGAAAACGCTGCTAGTTGTACTGTTTTAGAATACTTGAAATTTTTATTTTCGAAACAGGCTTGACTACAAGTTGGGATTCACTTTCATTGGAGGGTTATCCTAGTAAATGGGTTCATTATCGATAATAAATAAACTATTATCACTTTGGAGCTGTTATATTTTGTGAGGTACCCAACCATCACCATTATAATTATTATACTTTATTTTTTTATACAACAATTAGGTGACACGACGTGTAACGTTGGACACGGTTTCTAATTGTAAATGTGAAATTCTGATTTTATACTATGAAAATTATAAATGGTGCAAGGATGATTAAGTTGTAATCCATATTATGTCTTACTTTTAAAAAGTTGAAAATTATTGTTTAGGATTGCCTTAATAGGTTGAAGCTAGACATATAAATTATAGATGTACATCTATTGAAACCGACATTGAATAAATTATTTTCATCTAAAACAATTGTATGTACTGTGAAACAATGGGAAAGGGTTACCTCCGTAGAGGCCCTGACAGGTATATTTATAATAAACTATCAGTTACCAAAATACACAAGGATTCCTAAAATATACTCCGTATCAACTAGGATTTTTTTTATTTGCTGCTACCCAATTGCTTCGATTCTTAGTTAAAACGCAGCAAATAGGCAAAACTTATAAGTATTTGTTGCGGTTCTCAAACAACTGCAGCAAAAAAAATGGAAAATTTGATACTTTTTGCTACGGTCATGGGAGAACCACAACAAATACTCATAATATATTTTGAATTTTAATTTTTTGGACCTTTTTTGCTGCGGGTGAGAGTGAACCGCAACTAATACCTTAAACGTTGCTACTGTTAGCTGTGGTTAGAGGCTGAACCGCAGCAAATAGTTTCTCCTCCAATCGATCAAAGCAGACAAACCCTCCCCAAACCCCAGCCCCCTCCCAGCCGCCGACCTTGGCGCCGCACCTCGCCGACGGCCAGCTCCTTTCCAACCCCCGCCACCTCCAGCAGCTAGCCGCGGCCACGGCACTCCTACATGCAGTCGCGGCCGCCTCTCAACCATAAATCCCATATCCACTCAGTGATATTCTATTTGCAGGAGGTCCCATATGGTGAAGCTCGACGCCATATGGGAATATCACCCAACCATTGCAGGTTGCAAGGCACCAGTTTCTCTACCCCTCACATGCATAACCTCCTCGGATTTTCTACCCTCACCCATCTGTTTTAAATCTAATTCCTTACTCTTAAGACCATTTACCACAATGTCAAGAGTCACATTATCTCTACCATACTTAATAGCAGATTTCACATCACTAAAGGAATCAGGAATAACATTTAAAAGAGCAATAGGAGAATAATCATCTATATGCTTCTCACCACACAACTTAATATCCGAAATAAGTTTGGTAAAACCATCTAGATTTTCTTCAATATCCCTACACATATCCAGTCTAAATTTGAAGAACTTTTCAAGTACAAACACCCGGTTAGGCAAAGAGATTTCAGCATACAGTTCATCTAATCTATTCCATAGAATTTTAGCACTCTCTAAAATTCCAACTTTTCCAGAATCTGATAAGTTCAAATAAATCACAGAACATGCATTTTCATTCATTTCAGCCCTTTTATCTTCTGTGTTAGAAATTAAATAGGTCTCACCAACTGCTTCAAAACATTTTTGTTGGATTAAAATACATTTAATTTTTTTTGCTTCCAAATGCTAAAATCAGATTTTCCATTAAATGGAGCCATACCATACTGATTATAAGCAGACATTTTCACAAAGAAAAACAAGCAACAAAATAAAATGTAAATTTCGCTGAAAAACCATTTAAATATTTATAAGGCTACAAATATACGAAGCAACTAGCACGAACACACGGGGAGTATTAATGAGCACCAAACTCAAGTTCAAACTCCTTGTTCTTCCGTATGAGCACAAATAAATAATAAATTTTCAGCGCAAAACAACACAACAATTCTATCAATTTTAAAAGCAGTAATAACCTAAAATTAGATTTCTACACAATAAAAGACTAAATCACTACAAAAGCGATAAAAGTGAGTTTCAAGTCAATATACCGGAGCGAAACCCTAGGAGAGGCATTTCGACCTTACCCACCCAATTAAAATTGCGATTTTTCGGAAGTTGACTGACTTTGATTGGCAGTTTGACCGTTGACTAGCTTTGACCAGGCGTTGACCAGCCTTATGTCCAGCAGTCCAGTTCCCAGCAGTATCAGAGCCGAATTCAACAGCCCATTTGACTGAAATAGCAGGAGCATTCTTCGTCCAAGAATACTTTCATAGATTGTTGGGGATTTTCCTTCCACGTCACTTGTTCCTGGCTGTCCGGTTTTGGCTGACGGTAGCATAACAGTACTCCGGCGTAAAGCTTCTCCCTTTGTATATCTCCGGCAATTGGCACTGGCATGGAGACCCCCTGGGCATAATATTTTATATATTCTTCTAGCATGGCAGCACCTTGACTTTTCTTCTTTTATATTTGTTGGAGTGTTACCCCAGGTCCAAAGGTCTAATACTGCCAACACAATGATATACCTGCAAAGATAGCTAACAAGAGAATCAACGGCTCGAGATGCATAAACGCTGTCCTCTGAAAGTATTTCTGGTGGCCGGAAATCTTCCCCTAGGATATAACGAGCCCTTCGGCTAATTGCCGGACTCAGAACTACGAGGATAGATATGTATAGTACGTAATCCAGCAGTGTTCAATGCTTAAAGTATTTGCATGTAAAAGCCTTAGTGAAAAATATAGGTAGATTCTATGGTACCCAAAAGGTACCATACTTTTGTCCACATGGACCAATCAGAATATTGCAGTTGAATTATTTAAGTCTAAATTAAAAATGATATACCTACTTGGACCAATCAAGAGAATGATAGGTATGGTACCCCATTTTTTAAATGGGTACCGGAGTTCTCACCAAAAATATATTGGACGTAAGTTCTTTTTAAAGAAGATATAATAGTGAGGAAGTTAATACAAAGAATGGCACCAATGTAACTCATGGACTTTAGATAGACAGAAATATGAGTGAATTTCATTTGGACAAAAAAGAAAGCTTGAAAAAAAACCACCTGTCTCCCCCAAATCCCAATTGTTTGGCGAGCTCTCTGCCTCTCTGATCCCAAATCCAATCGCCGGTGCTCCTGTGCTTTCAAGCAAGCGCAGCGGCTACGAAGAGCGACGGGGAAGCACCTACGAAGAGTGACAACTAC